GCCTGCAAATTATCCGCGTGGAATTTAAAATTAAATTTACAAAACTTGTAACATAACTAATTAAAGTGTTTTTTTAATTTGAAATTTTTTTGTATCAAAATGCAAACTTATTTAAAAACTAACGTCATTTATTTATTGTTTAACGTCCGTTAAAATTGAGGGAAGCATATAAATGTTTATTTCCAAACTAAACCGATACTGCTCTTTGTGACCTCTATAAATAAAATACATTGTTATATTTTAAAAGTGAAATTTCCTTTATCGCTAAACGTTTTAAATTCACCTAATTAATATTTAGTTAACGCGTCGAACTATTTCAAATGACTATAAAACTAATTTGTAATCTAAGCATGTAATGTTTAAATGTATTAACGTGGACGTGACACGAATATGATGGGCTTATCCATACTAATATTACAAAGAAGAAAGATTTGTTTTTTTGGATTTTTGTATGTATTGAAATAACTCAAAAACTAATAGGCCAATTTTAAAAATTACTTCACCGTTCGAAAGGTAATTTATCTGTGAGTGACATAGCTTTAATTTTTTTTAACGCAGAAGAAGTCGCGACTAACAAGTTGTATTATAACTGGTGACCAAGCTAATAAACACTTCAAACTATTTTTTTTAATTCGCTAAAATAAGATATGCTAAAACAGAAAAAAGGGGTGTCGGAGTCTCAAGGGTTAAGCAGACATCCATTCATTATATGGGTTCAAATTCTATTATAATAATGCGAAAAAAATCATCTGTACGTTTACCTCACGTATTAACTTGTTACAACGTTCATATTTCTGAGAAAAAATTCAGAGATATGACGTCATACACGCAATGTGCCAGGATTCACTTCAGCATAGTCACCCCTAACTTAGAGTAGCTACAAGTTAAGGGGACATATAGTAAGTAGGTGATAATGATTAATCTTTGCACTCTGTAATTAATGTTTTAATAAAACAAAAATATTCAATGAAAAAAAACTCGTTCTTAAATTTAACCGTGTACTTCCATTGTCGGAGCAAACGTACCTATCCGTTCAAAACGCGGCAGTGGAGACCCACAGTCATGGTGAGGTTAACGTTCATTTAGAAAATGTTTGATTTTTTCATTGTTTTTAAAAATTCAACCGCGTATAATTAAAATAAACCCTTTTTTACACACTGATAGCGTAGCTTTTTAATGGTGAAAGAATTTGTGAAAACGGCAAAGTAGTTTTTGAGTTACTTTAATACAAAAATACGAATCTTTCGTTACAATATTAGTAGAGATGCAGTGTTTACTTATTTAATATTTTCGTCAAAGATAAGTAAATAATATACTTTTTCAAAAGTTTATAACTTAAACTTACGACCACTTAGATTACGAGAAGTTAAGTTGTGTGTTTTCTCTTCAAAAATATGGAGGGAAAATCAATTTGTCATGTTTTCTTTTTTATTTTAAAAAGTGTTCTCAGTTCGTACGTATTTTTTCAACAACATGTTGAAATTCTTTCATGCCAGTCCAGTTAGAAAATGATTCATGTATGTTTGCATTGTAATGTACACCTTCGCTATCAGCCACGAAATATGTTAACACCAAATGCAACATTTAAAACAACTCTTAACTCCATAGTCATAAAGACTAAAATACTCAAGTCACGCTGTTTAAATCCTCAAAGGTAAATCCATTGACTAATATTACTTAACTTTGTACTAATACTTGTCACACTTTGTGACTCAGATAAAAAAAAGTAAAAAAAAAACTTACCTAACGTGGATATCCTGCAAACGGAACGGATAACCTTATTTGAACTTCAGTCGCACTTTAAATTAAAAAATATATTGCCTTTAAAGACGTCTGTTGTGTACGATGTTTCGATCGCAACTGATTGTCGAGGCGGCGCTTGCGCAGCAGTTGACGCCTTCATATGAGGG